GGTGTATTTTCCTCTTTTTATAAGGACACTAGCTATCCAACATTAAAGTCCCCTCTTGATGACCCCAATTAACCTTAGTCACCTCTTCAAAGGCCCTATCTCCAAATATAGTTGAGTAATGACAATGATCTGGTCAATGAGGACCACATATACCTGGTGGTTGCATAAGATTACATCTCCTAGTGACATTGTGGCTTTTCAGTTTATGTAAGAACACATCACAGTGTTCACACAACGACAAAATCATCAAGTGGAGCACTTCTCAGAATATGTCTCTGTTGTTAAGTAATATATGGCTACACTGTCCTTTGGTAGCATAGGACTTCTATATGTGAACCTTGGGCACACATAATTCAAACCAGAGCAACTGTATAATCAAAATGCATAGAACTGTACACCTCATGAAAGCGTGTATTACTCCCTATGTATCATATCTCAATAAACAAAATATAAATTGTTCACTTATCTAAAAGTTATGGTGTACATTCTGATACAGAAAACAGACACATTTCTCTGAATATTCAGAACATATATAATTTGTTTGCTTTCATGACATTACTTTTTAAGTGAAGCTAAAAAGCAAGATCAACTCTCCCACCCCACCAAAAAAGAATCCCCCAAACCCTAGACCTCTCTCATTGGTTATGTCGAATATGCTAAATGTCTCCTCAAACATACTATTTTTAACTCTGTAATGTTGTTAGTAAACAGGACAATTCAGGGAGAGAGTTCTTGTGGAAGAAGGCTGCAAGTGTAGGTTACAGTAGGAATCCACTGGGGATGACTGGTCTAGAGTAGCAGATGGGAGAGTCCATAAACACGGGTGATAGCCAAATTCATCTTTTTCTGGGTAAATTATTTGGGAGATAGTTCAGGTCAAATTTGAAATAATTTAGGACAGGGTTTAGGGCAAGCAGTGAATGTGGAAAGTGTATGACTTTGGATTTAGTCTTGGATTTACATCAATGGTCTCAGATTTGAATATTGGCTTCTCCAGTTTATTACCTTGGGAAAAAAAATGAATTTCTCTGGATCTTCATTTCCTCATCCGCAAAATGGACTACAAAAAGCGAGTGTGTAGGGTTGTTATGAAGATTTGAAATTAAACCCCAAAGCCAAAGAGAAGTAGACTGGCACTTGGTAAGTGTTCAACCATCCACAGACTTGATTTTCAACGTGCTTTGGTTTAGTCAGCAGAATTCACAATAGGTCAGGCCTAGAGACAGCACTCTCAGGTGTCTGGGGCCATGCCCCCAGACAGTACCCTGGAGAGCTCCTTTGAAGGCCAATAGCTGTGTCTGAGAAATGACGGAAGGCTTCTTATCCCCACCAAGACCCTGGAGCTGGGGAACTCTACTGAAGAGGTCTTTCCCTTATTCTTATACATTTAGTGCCTAAGGAGCTGGGTAATTTGACTTCACTCACCCAACAGCATTTGAACCTTGAGTCAAGGAAAGGGTATTTCTTTTGTCCTGGCTGGAGTTGTCACAGGATCCCCCCAGGACAGATAACAGTTGTTCACTTATATGAGTCAACACAAATAATAGGAAAGTGTAGATTCGTAACTCCACTGGTGGGTGTGATGGATGGTGCTCTGGATTTTAGAAGCCTGGGCCTTTGATCTGGTGTTTGCTTTTTTGTTTTCCCCTAAGTAGGTGACTTGAGGTTGAATACTTTATCTTATTTAGGTCTCATTCACTGATTGTATGAAAGGACGATGTTCTTTTGAGCTTCCGTCCAACTAGGGTATTCTAATATTCTATGATTTGAAACTGGAGAAGGATCTTAATGAATTGATGGATGTGGATAAGGCTTGACACAGTACTCGCTGGATGTTGAGTCTCTGTGCTTTGTGCTGTGGAGTTAATGAATGAGAGAGGCCTTTCCTGGCTTGAGCTAATAACTATCAGAGGGAATTCAAGGTCAATTCCTATTCAATATTTTTATTTCCTGTTCAAGGTCAATTACCATTCAATATTTTTGTTTGTAACCTAGAAGGCACGTTGATACCATTTGTGCAGAGTTCAGAGCTGGGAATGTCTTCAGGGACATTGTGTGGTAGATTGTGCTTTCATCTCATTCCATGCAGAAAAGCAACCTTCAAGAATTTGATGGTTACACTGTCACTAAGTTTTTCTTTCTTCTTTGGGCAGACTCCAGGGGTGATATCGCTCCTTAAATACAATATTCAGAATAGAACGTATTGCTTGTCAACTTCTCTGTCCGGAGCAGAGTTCTCTTTCTGCCCACTGTGTACATTTTCTGTTGGCCCAAGATGATCTACTGTCACTTGGTGGGATTGTAAATTGGCACGGCCCATATTTTACACTGTTGGTGGGATTGTAAATGAATACAAAACCCATATGGAAATCAGTATGGAGTTTCTTCAAAAGACTAGGCATGGAAGCACCATATGATTTAGCTATACCTCTCCTCTGTATTAATCCTAAAGAATGAAAGTCAGCATAATTATTATGGTTTGGATGTGACTTGCCTCTGAAAGGCTCCTGTGTTAATACAGGAATATTCAGAGGTGAAATGAGTGGATTGTGGAATCTGTAACCTAATTAGTCCATACTAGATTGAATGGGCTAGGCAGGTGGGACATGGCTGGAGGAGGTGGGTCACCGAAGAGAGTAGTGCCCTGGAAGAATGCATCCCCATCCCTTTCCTGACTACTCTGAGGGGAGAAGCTTTATTCCACTGTGCCCTTTCCCCAAGACGTTCTGCCTCACCTTGGGCCCAGAGAGATGGAGTCGGCCTTCTGTGGACTGAGACCTCTGATCCCTGTTAATGATGTGGATAGCAACTAGTTCCATAATCTCTTTCCCTTAGAACTGTCCTTTATCTTTTCTTTCTTTTGCTCCTTTGAGAGCAGGGTGTGCCTTACCTAATCCTGTGTCCATTCCTGTATTCCTACTCCACAGTTCTTTGATTAATAAATTAGAAGTAACAGCAATTAATAAATTAGAAATAACAGCAGTCCAAGTGACAGTAGATCAGAGTTTTACTTGACACCAATTAATTGTGTAAGGGAGCTGCTAGGAAATACTAAGATCATCTTGGGCTATATTAACAGAAAATGTACACGGTGGGTAGTAAGAGAACTCTGTCTCTGTTCTGGATGGAAAAGTTGAGAAGCAGTCTGTTCTATTCTGAATATTGTATGTAAAGAGAGATATCATCACTGGAGTCTTCCCAAAGAAGAAGGAAAATAATTAGTGACAGTATAACGAAGTTGTTAGGATGTCTGCTTTGGAGTCACACAGACTTGTTCAGGTCCAAGCTCTGACACTTTGTCACCTTGGTAAATTCACTTAACCTCAGTTATCTCCTCTATATAATGGAAGTAATAACAGCACTTACTTCATGGAGTTATGGTAAGCATTACAATAATGATGATAAATTGTGATTTATGGTTGAAGGATTCAGAATTGTTAGACTACTAAATTTGAAAACTTAGACATTGGGCAATGAATTGGAAATGATATCCATTATTAGATATTTGAATAGTTGCTATGGGAAGAGTCAGTGGACTTTTTTGGGTAGACTCATATGCCTGAATTAGATAAAATACTGGGATTTGCAGAGAAGAAGATGATATTTGATATATAGCAGGAATTTTTGATAATCAGCCTTGTTTAAAAATGGAATTCAGTGCTTCAATCAGATGGTGACTTCTAGACCACAGTGAAGTTTCATGCAGAGGCTACTTCCATGCCTGAAGATGGTATAGAGGGGCATCTTGTACTGGGTATGTGAATTGGGGTTATCGGGGGTTCCTAAACTTGAGAATCATTTAGGAGTAGAGATCAGGAATCACTAATAAGCAGACACTTCAGGTGGTTCTGAAAAGATGAGTCTCTCGATAGAAAATTTGGACCCACTGTGGTGTGGAGGATGCATATCCTTTCACCTGTATGAGTCTAGGTGATGGGATTCCAGAGTAAAGATGTTTCAAGCAAGGAGACATGAAGATACACTTATCTTCATGCCAAATATACTTTGAAATCTTTTGATCAGAATGAAGAGTTCAAGCTAAGGAGTGTCTGGGAGTCTACCTGGGATGGAGAGTGAGGGCCTGTGCATGGAGAAGTTTAGGTGCTATGGGTGCGAACTTGGAGGTAACCAGGAAGAATTCTGAATTCCACAATGAATGTAGCAGTTACATGCAAACTCCCTCTGAAAGAATGAGCTAAATAATAAATAAAGGCAACTTTCTTTATTCCTTTCTCTCTTGCAGTTATCTAGCTTGGAATCTGTAGTTTGAATTGTCACCTTCACCTGCCATTTCCTTCATTCCCAGCTATTCTTAATTACACACTGCGTAGAGATCAATCCTCACCTCCAGGCTCCCTTCCTTTCCCAGCATGTGGGAAGCCAGGGGACTTTCACTGACTAATTCTCCCAGCTGTAGAGAAAGCACCCAAGCTTGTCTGCTCAACATAAAAGCGAGAGATCACAGTCTTGTTGACCACAGAGGTACCCAGGGCTGGGAGCCAAAGTTCAGAGCTTACTTTCGAGGGACAAGTTCTTTTGCCTATGCTCAACCCTACTTCTTTCATGTCAGCAAGTTTGTTCTTATCTCAAGGCAGTTCTTAAGTTAATTAGTAGCAATTATTAGCTCTACTGCCGTGGAATGCACAATAACAGAAGAGGCTATCGGGGGAGATGTGGTTGGATGCTCTGAGATAACACCCAGAGGAACTGCAGCCAGTCACACTGATCAATTAAGCCTTAAGAAGAGAAGGAGGAGGAGCAGGAGGAGGAGGAGGAGGAGTAAGAGGAGGAGAAGGGGGAGGGAG